GCAGAATCCTAGTCTGCCGTGCCTGCTATCGTCGGGTTCCGTGCTGGGGGCACGAGCAGCATGAGGTGGTTCGCAAGCTTTGCAGCGTCGTCACGGAGGGGAAGATGACGGACTGCCATGACCTGCCGTCCGCCACCCTCGCATCGCAACACCAGCCTCGCTTCTTGCCAGACCCGCACGCACAGAGATTCGAAAGCGTACGGAGCAGCTCGAGCTCTGGCTGTCCTACGAATCTTTTATACGCGGCCCGCTGGTCTTCCGTCAGCGGGCAGAAGACGACCCTGTCACTCTTTTTGGGGAGTTGATGCGCAATGAGAGACTTCATCCGTCGGAGGAAGAACCCTGGGAGGAGGTTGGTCACCAGCTTCTTCGCTGTTATGCGTGCGTTTCGCAGTTGATAGAATGTGGCGTCGTGGGACTGCCCCAGCCGGAGAGGGCCTGCGATCGTCCGGTCCCATTCGCCTGCCGTGCCAAAGTGTCCTGGGTTGGTCCAGTTGAGCAACGTCCAGAGCTCTGTGTAGTTGTTCTGTATGGCTGTGCCCGTGAGACCTATACGGCACAGGGCGTTGATCTGACTATCGTGAATACAACGAAGAGGAACGAGAAACAAAACAAGAAGCGCGTGTGCGAGGGCCCATATCACGTACCTGGTTCATGGCCTTCGTGATCTCGGCAGAGCCTCTCTTCAGCGCATGACACTCATCTGCCACGACGGCGTCCCACTGGATCGTGTTGATGGAGCTGGCGTGGTTCTTGTACGTCTGGTACGTGGTCACCATGATCTCCAGCATGCCGGCCCGCGCCGCACCCAGCACGTCCTCCTTCTGCGCGGTCGAGCCGTGGAACAGGTCAATAGACCACCAGCCCCAGCGATTCAGCTCATTCTTCCAGTTCTCAATGAGCGAGCCGGGGCAGATGATGAGCACGCGGGGATACCACCGGCGCGCATCCCGCCTCATCTTCCTCATGCGCTTGCCGTCGCGCGCGTCGCCCGTCTTGCCGAAGGGGCCGTCAGAAAGGCGGCGACCTGCACCGTCTTGCCGAGGCCCATGTCGTCGCCCAGCACGCCTCCGTTCTGGTACACGAAGAGCCTGTGCAGAAACTTGACGCCGGCAACCTGGTAGTCGCGCAGGTACTGCGCCAGCGGCCCCGGGGGGACGCCGCCCGAGTACTCGAGCTCGAC